TTTGAGTGTTACTGTGGCCTCATCTATTTCCTGGCAGTACTTTTTTCTTAGTAACAGACCCAAATTTTCCCACTTAGATAAAGAGGCCTTTATCTCTTTGAGTCTCTTTTTCTTCTTTCTGATTTGTTAAATATTTTCCAAGTTTTAATTGTATAACTGAAAAGAAATCTATGCCAAAAGTTCATGAGGGCTTCAGTTTGGTCATCTGTGAAGAGTTTTTCTAGATCTCTTCTGCTTTCTTTTGCCTTTGTTCTGGAGCTTCCTTACATGGAGGCAGGGCTGGGGCCAAGGTGAGGTAAGTGGAATATATCTTCATTCCCAGCATTCCTTTGTGCCCTTTTATTCACCAGGTCCAGTTGCAGTTCCTCTGGACATTCCCGAAGATGCTCTTCCTCTTCATCTTCTTCCTCATCCTCCTCTTCATCTTGTTCCCGAAGCCGGTCCCGCTCCCCATCCCCCCGCCGGAGAAGTGACAGGAGGCGGCGGTGAGCATATGTTCAGGGAGTCAGTATATTTGAAATGCAAGTTCCTGAGAGTTCTGAGACTTGAGTTGTCTAATGTCTGGGGGACTGATAGCACCTTCTTCTCTTGTCAGGTACAGCTCTTATCGTTCGCACGACCATTACCAAAGGCAAAGAGTGCTGCAGAAGGAGCGTGCAATAGTGAGTAGAGGAACAGGTCATGGGAGGAGGGGGCTTGCCCCTGAGCCATGAGCTTAGAGAGCCATATGCAGCTCTGGCCCTGGCTCATGGTGTGTTAATTTTCTCCAATATAGGAAGAGAGAAGAGTAGTCTTCATTGGGAAGATACCTGGCCGCATGACTCGGTCAGAACTGAAGCAGAGGTTCTCTGTTTTTGGAGAGATTGAGGAGTGTACCATCCATTTCCGTGTCCAAGGGTAAGCTTGAGCTCTAAGGTCAGGATGTCCTTTCTGTCTCATTCATGATGCTTCTTTCTTTCCCCCTTGCTCTGGTGTGCTGGTCTATGTAGGACAGCTTCATTTCTGCATTCTGGGTTGGCCATTTGGGGAATGAGAATAACCACTCTAGTCCCTCTCTGTACCCTGGGGTGCTGTTTCTTCTTCATGGCATGTGCCCAAATAGCCAGCCTCAGCCTCGTGCCTTGCCCTACCCACCAGTGATAACTACGGCTTCGTCACTTACCGTTATGCTGAGGAGGCATTTGCAGCCATCGAGAGTGGCCACAAGCTGAGGCAGGCAGATGAGCAGCCTTTTGATCTCTGCTTTGGTGGTCGCAGGCAGTTCTGCAAGAGAAGCTATTCTGATCTTGGTGAGTGGAAGGAGGCCCCCTGAGGCTTTGGTGTACTTATTTTCACCAGGAGGGTTCTCAATCTTTTGAGTGGGTTAGGCTGACTTGTTTTCATCTGATACACAAATAACCTAAGGGATGAAATGAGAAGAGAAACAGGGGCACTCATCTTTTTGACTTACAATCAGGGTTTTAGCTCTATCCATTATTGGGACGGGAGGTGGCTGGCCAGCCGAGGACCCTGTGGTTGGGAAGTGTGGTCAGAGACCTTGATGTTTGTCTCTCTCTACCTTTATAGACTCCAACCGGGAAGACTTTGACCCTGCTCCTGTAAAGAGCAAATTTGATTCTCTTGACTTTGACACATTGTTGAAACAGGCCCAGAAGAACCTCAGGAGGTAACCCTGGGCCCTTTTCCCCTCCCCCTTTTCTTTGGAGGTGTCCAAACATCTCCATCCCCCTCCCCAACTCTAGGGGAGAGAGCTGCTAGTGAGGAGATGACTTTTATAAAGAAATGGAAAAAAGTGAAATAAAAAATTGTGTTAAATCAGATTTTTTAAAGGGTATTTGTTTTTTATAACAGGCATCGAAACAAGTTAACTTGCATTCTATGTAAGGTGGATGAGGTTGAGGGGTTCCCCAGTGTTTGGAAGATATAAGTCACTATGCAGACTAATAAACATGAACTAGAGAACTCCCAAGTGCTGTTGTGCTTCTTTCATTCTATGGTGTTGGTGTCAGACATACTCACTTCTGCTCTTTGAACACAATCAGCATCATGTTTACCTCCATTGAGTTCCTAGGACCCCTCTTTGGTTAGGTGCAAAATCCTGTTGGACTTGAAACTTGGCTCCTCAAAGTGTTTTTTCAGTGAAATCAGTCATCTAAGGCAGTGCTTCTCAAACTTCAAAAGGGCATTTGAATCATCTCAAGATCTTTTTAGAATAGATGAGATCCTGCATTTCAAACAAGGGGATGCTGATGCTACACTATTCTAGGAAGGGGTTTTAATACCAAGGACCTAGACGACGCTCAACACTTGTTCCAAACAAAGGTTTTCTAAACTGAAACGTGTGCACACATGTACCATTTTAGCTTGAGTACAGTGCTTGGCAAACAGCAGGTACTCAGATGTTTAAAGAATGCATGCATGTAGATCTCTGGAGAAGAGGGAGATGTAAGAGTTATATCTAGGCTAGGGGGAATATCTATTTTGAGAAAGGCAAAAGAGAGGTACCCACTGTGCATCCCTACCCTTCCTGAGGGGCATTAATGGGAAGTAGTCAAGGGATAGTGGGTAGGATTGCAAAGATTGCTGTTTGCCAGGGGTTCTCTCATATGTAAGACGTGACTGAGGAAAGGGCAGTTTGGGTGATCAACATCCCACCTCTACCACGGGTAATCTGAAGGATCCTCTGCAGTGGAGGTTGGAGTCCGAAGGCTGAGAAGGGGTTTCCCTGGGTATTGGAGGCAGTGAAGATGAATGGTGGGAATACACTGGCGGCATGGAATGGGGACGGTTGGGAGATCTTGTGACCAACTCGAGAGGCCAAGGACAGCTCGAGCCCGTCAGTCCACCCATTACTCTGGAACATGAATCCCAGTTAGGGCGCGGGAAACGGCTGCTGGTTGAAAAGTTTCCTCCAGCGGAAAGGGCGCGGGAAGTCCGGAGTTTTCCCGCCACGGCCGAAAGCGTGACCCCTGACGTCAGGGCTCCGCCTTCACAAAGTGGCGGACGGCGGGCTCCGCCCTTACCAAGATGGCGGCACTCGTGGGACCGGAAAGAGCTTATAGATTTCGCCTTGACCCTGCCTCCGATGTGGAGGCGGGACTGCCCTGTGGAGTGTGCCCGCCCCTTCCTCCGTGCGCCCGTGCGGCGCGATGGCGTCACACGGGTCCGTCCCCACCTCTGTTGGTTCCTGAGTTCCTGAGTCGTTGCGTCTGCAGCGGTAGTGACGCGTATTGCTCGGAGGATGGCGGACGCCGGCTTGCGCCGCGTGGTTCCCAGCGACCTGTATCCCCTCGTGCTCGGCTTTTTGCGCGATAACCAGCTCTCGGAGGTGGCCAACAAGTTTGCCAAGGCAACAGGCGCTGTGAGTCCTGGGCCTGGGGCATGGGCCGGGGTGGGATGACCACGGCTCCGGGCCCTGACGTGCTTAGGTTTCCAGGTAGAGAGGTCCCCACCAGCCCAATGTCTGCAGAGCCTTTGTGCCGAGCCTTTGGCGGTGACCAGAGAAAGCCCAAAGTCCACGAAGTCTGACTAGATAGTGCTGAATCTTGTTTTTCTTTCTGGTGAGTGATGGCAGTGGCGGCAGCGTGGGACCCTCGTGGCCCAGATCACGTGGCTGGCGGAGTGCGGCGAGGAGGGAGCGCCCTGACCCACAGCGGGCAATGGAGACTCCTGGTTTCTTCTTTGGGCTTTACGGTGGCTGATGCAAAGCATGACTTGACCTTAACTCTTATTCCAGGACTCAAAGATAGATAAATTTGCTTTAGAAGGCTGGGATTTTCGTTAGCAAAGAAAATGAACGAGAGTAGAGTCATGATTCTGCTTTTAGTTATACTGAAGCAGGATTGAGTACCATAGCCCTAACCAAGCAGGCATAGTAGTCGGCTTGGATCTTTGACTTATAGAATCAAACAAATACAGGTTTGGGACCAGGCTCTGCCACTTTAAGATGTATGACCCGAGCAGCTTGCTTAAACTGTCTGTTTCTATTTCTGTGGGGATGTTATCATCCACTTTCTAGGATTTTTGTGAGTTTTAGTAACATGATATATAGAAAGTGACAATCCCAGTGCGTGGTGCTCAGGAAGCATGGATGAATGAAAGCTGTGATAGTTTGGGTAACTTAGGATGTTCCAAACACACGTAAAAGGAAGATTATCAGGGATGTGAAAGGTTTAGAATCTGCATCTCAAGAAAAGCAGATATGATTGCATGGGAAAAAACCTTGGGAGAGTAGATGGTCTTTGGCAGTCTTAGTCTTTGACTGTCTTAGTTTTTGACTAAGGAGACTTGTTTTTTGTGGCAGAATCAGGCTGCACAAGGGGAGAATCAGATCAGCCTCAGAAAGGACTTCTTTAAGCTGGGACAGCCTGTCCTGTGATGTGATATAACTGCTTTCATACTGGAACTATTTGAAATTTACTGTTAGGGAGGCTGCAAAGAATGTTTCCAGAGAATTTACTGGGTGGACTTGAGCCTTTGAGAATCAGGATTTTTTTTTTTTTTTTAATGTGGCAAAAACTAATCTTTGTGGAGAGCTTATTAAGGGCCAAATGCTTTTTCCAGATATAAAACTTTTGTATGCCTTATCTCTTATCCCCTCAACAACGTAAGATGTATAGTGTTATCTCCATCTTGTAGAGAAGAAAACAGTCTCAGAAAGATTACGTAATTTGCTCAGGATCACACAGTAATTGGCAAAAGTGAGTTTCACATCTATACTCATCTAACTCTGATCCTGTACTCTTGTGTGTCCTGTAATGCCTTGCCATTTTTTTGTATCAATAATATATACCAGTGTAATTAGTAGCTGGATGCAATTCTGTGTTGAATATATGACATAGCTTTTTACTTCTCTTGGAGGCTGTTTTTCAATGATAAGGTATTACAAACCACGTTGCAGCAAATACCCTTTTATGTAAATGTGCCTTTGTTTCATGGGTAAGATAAATTCCTACATTGCTCAATGATATACACATTTTAAAAGGCTTTGATAAATAGGATTGACAGGTGGGGGATAGATGGTGCCAGAAACTATAGGAATAGCCAAAGGTTTTGATACCAAAAACTGGGAAATACTTCAGAATATTTTTCTCCCAATTTGTGCAAGTAGAAGTCTACAAAGTTGTAATATTTATATGAACTATAGCAGGTATAGAACAGGTAGGTTTTAATGAGAGAATAACACAAAATCTGATCTACCCTAGAATAACCAGGATAAAATTTTTTTACCCCGTTTTTTCTCTTTTCTCCCATAGACCCAGCAGGATTCCAATGCCTCTTCCCTCTTGGATATCTATAGCTTCTGGCTCAAGTAAGTCTTCTCTGTACTACTGTGGCTATTTTCTCGCCCTCAAGTGGGCTGGGCTGTGCTCTTTGGTTTGGGAAGGTTCTGATCACCCAGAAGTTAGTATAATCTACCTCAGCAGGTCCACCAAGGCTCCAAAGCGGAAGTTACAGGCAAATGGGCCAGTGGCTAAGAAAGCTAAGAAGACGACTTCATCCAGTGACAGCAGTGAAGATAGCAGTGAAGAGGAAAAAGCCCAAGGATCTCTAGCTAAGAAAGCTGGTAAGGCCGGGCAGGGAGTTGGGCTTAGCAGTTCCAGGAAAAAGATTTGTAGTTCGCCTATACAGCATAGCTGATTCTTACTTGGATCTATGCTTTTGTTCAGCTGTACCTGCCAAGCGGGCTATTCTGCCTCAGCATCCTGGAAAGGCTGCAGCCAAAGCATCAGAGAGCAGCAGCAGTGAAGAATCCAGTGATGATGAGGAGGAGGACAAAAAGAAAAAACCTGTTCAGGTTTGAAACTTTGAGAAGGAGATGGGTTGCTTAAGGGATCTGAAAGAAGAAACCTAATATCTTGGTTTCTAGCTCGTAACCAAGGAACGATGGTAGGGCACGTGATTATGGGACAAGTGTTTTGTAGATAGGTGTTGAGAGCTCTAGTCAGGGACAGAGCCAATAGATCAAGTGGTTAAACATTTAATTCCCTATTAAGATTTTATTGTCCTTTTTATGTGCTGTCCTGCTTAGCTTTCGCTTGCTTCTACTGCTCTCTTAGCCCCTAAAAAATAAAGAGCCTAGGAAGCTTCCTACCTTACAATGCCCTTTGGGTACCCAGAAGCTCTTGCAGATTCTACTCATTGTGTGTTTTCCTCACAGAAGGGAGCTAAGCTCCAAGTCAGGGCAGTCAAAGCTCCTCCTAAGAAGGCTGAGAGCTCAGATTCTGATTCTGACTCCAGCTCAGAGGATGAGGCACCAAAGAACCAGAAGCCAAAGACAGCACCAATGGCAGCTAAAGCTCAGGCTAAAGTTCCAGCCAAACCAGGTACTGTTTCTGTTTCTAAAAGGCCGGGCTGGGGACCACTTTGCTCTGGGACTGGTGTTTAAATTGCTCATTCAGCACAGGAGTGAAATGGTACTGGTTGTTGAACCAGAGGTATTGATTAGTGTGTTTTATTTTTTTTTTAAGCTTTTTATTAATGAGTAAAAGGTTTCATAATTAGAGGCTCGTAACGAGAAAGTTTGCTACAATTTATATTTTTTACAGTGGTATGTTTGTCATCTTTTAGTTGCATTTCATAGATATATTCCCACAAATTCCATTCTACTGTGACCACTTATACCTCTATTCTTTGTGTTTCTCACTACCATTTTTCCTTCTGCACCTTTATTCCATAGGACAAACGAGAATTTTTATTTTTTTCTGTAATTTTCCTGTGATGAAGGTTAGGTTATGATTTATAGCAGCTTCTCTAGAAGTTGGAGTGAAAGACTTCAGAGGGCATATTTAAATTATTTGCATCATGTAATCTTTTAAAGATAGTTTTATTCCTGAAATTGGGTAGGAAAGACATCCTTCGATACAATAAACTACAATAGTCTACTTTATGCCTACTCTAAAGGCAAGATTATTGATAGACTCCTAAGTTCTGAGCTAATGGGAAGAAAGTTTTTATGGTCCTTTAATTCCTTGATACTTCTTACACTATTTCTTTTTTCTTAGGCACACCAGCTCGAGTAGCACCTAAAGTAGCCAATGGCAAAGCAGCCAGCAGCAGCAGCAGCAGCAGCAGCAGTAGCAGCAGTAGTGATGACTCAGAGGAGGAGAAGGCAGCAGCCATCCCCAAGAAGGTCTGGGGCATAACTTCTACCAGGGAAGAAGAGACCGGGGTAAAGGGGAAGGTCTCTATTTCCTGGCAGGATCGGTCGTGTCAATGTTTACCTGTGGTAACTGATTTTCTCTGTATGATGCAGACTGTACCTAAAAAGCAAGTAGTGGCCAAGGCCCCAGTGAAAGCAGCTGCTGCCCCAACCCAAAAGAGTTCCAGTAGCGAGGACTCCTCCAGTGAGGAGGAGGATGAGCAGGAGCAGAAAAAACCTGTGAAGAAAAAACCAGGTGACTGGACATGGCGAGTCAAACTGCATGACTGTTGCCAGGGCCTAGTTGTAGGAGAACCTCTGTAGTCACCACGTGGACCCCTCCAAAAGAGCTTCTTGACATGACAGCTAGTTTCCCCCAGAGAAAGGGGAAAGCTACATTACCTTTTATAACCTAGACTTGAAAATGACATGTCAGCATCCTTGCCATATTCTGTTTGTTAAAAATGAGTCACTCATTCTAACCCTTACTCAAGGGAAGGGGTTAAGCTCTATTTCTAGAAGAGCAGTATCAAAGAATTTGTGTATGTATTTTGAAACCACCATACTGTCCTTTTTAAACAGGTCCCTATAGTTCAGTCCCCCCACCTTCTGCTCCCCCACCCAAAAAGACCCTGGGAACCCAGGCTCCCAAGAAAGCTGCAGAAAAGAAACAATCTATGGAGAGCAGTGAGGACAGCAGTGATGAGTCTGGTGAGTCATCATAAGTGGTGAGTGGGTCTGGGGGGTGTATGAGGAATAGGAAGACAAATACTTTGTCCCTCTTTTCACTGAAGCAAGACAGGGATAAGACTCTGTGTGGATATATGCATCCTTCTCTTTATTGCTCCTGGTTGGGTTGGGACTCGACCCAGTTTAATGCCATAGATTCTCTCCAGATTCAAGCTCTGAGGAAGAAAAGAAAGTGCCAGCGAAGGCAGTCATCTCCAAGGCAGCCAGTAAACCAGCTCCAGCAAAGAAGGCAGCAGAGAGCTCTTCAGATAGCTCGGGTAAGGCATATGGAGGCCCTCAGGGCAGTGGGAGTTCCAGGGACTCTTCTCGGTCTGATCTAGGGAGCTATTCATTCTATTCTTATTTAGACTCTGACAGTTCTGAGGATGAAGCTCCTGCTAAGTCAGCCAGTACCACCAAGAATCTTTCAAGTAAGCCAGCTGCCACTCCCAAGCAGCCTGCAGCTAAATCAGCCACAACTCCCAAGCAGCCTGCAGGCAGTGGCCAGAAGCCTCTGACCAGAAAGGCTGATAGCAGCTCCAGCGAGGAGGAGAGCAGTTCTAGCGAGGAGGAGGAGAAGGTGAAGAAGACTGTGGCTACCCCTAAGTCTAAGGTGATGGCCAAAGCAGTTTCATCATTGCCTGTCAAACAGGCCTCTCAAGGTGATGGGGACAGCAGTTCTGATTCAGACAGCTCCAGCAGTGAGGAAGAGGAGGAGAAGACGTCTAAACCTCTAGTTAAAAAGAAGCTGCAGAAAACAGGAGCTGTAGCCCCTTCCAAGCCAGCCTCTGCAAAGAAAGTAAAGGCCGAGAGCAGCAGCAGTTCTTCTGATGACTCCAGTGAGGAGGAGGAAGAGAGGAAGCCCAAGGGCAAGGGCACTCCTAGACCACAAGCCCCCAGAACCAATGGCACCTCTGCACTGACTGCCCAGAATGGAAAAGCAGACAGGGACAGCAGCGAGGAGGAGGAAGAAGGGACAAAGGAAGCAGTGGTAGTTGCTAAGCCAGGTCTGTATCCAAAGAAGCTGCCTCGGTATCCTGCCCTCTCCCCTACCCCGCAATCAGGATGGGATATATACTCTTCGAGGATGGGGTAGAAAGAGGAGGCAAAATGACTAGGTTCCAATTGCAGGCCCTTAGTGTGGGAACCTGGACAGAAGAACAAGAAACTGGTCTCCTGAGTCTGGCTTTTGTTTTGTAGGTTCAGGAAAGAAGCGGAAGCAGATTGAGGCTGCCACAGAGGAAGAGACTCCTCAAGCCAAGAAGATAAAGCCTCAGACTCCCAATACATTTCCAAAAAGGAAGAAAGTAAGTTGTCTTCTTCTCAGAGCCAGCCTTTTAAAGAATAGAAAGAAGAATCTGGGATCATCTTGACAGCTCTCTGCCTGGCCTGGCACAGGAATCCTTTTCTGTTATCTGACCACTCCATTTTTAATTTCCCACTTCATTCTTCTCCAGGCAGAAAAAAGGGCATCATCCCCATTCCGAAGGATCAGGGAGGAGGAAATTGAGGTGGATGCTCGAGTGGCGGACAACTCCTTTGATGCCAAGGTGAGGAGAAAGGGTGTTCATCATTCTTGAAGTGGATGAGTTAAGAGAGAGGACAGTTTCTGCTTTGGGTGGTTGGGAAGCTCTCTGGGTTCACCTTGCCTTGAGCAGAAAAAGACAGGGCCCTGGTATCCTTTGTGTTAACCACCTCTCTACTCACCAGCGAGGTGCAGCCGGAGACTGGGGAGAACGAGCCAATCAGGTCCTAAAGTTCACCAAAGGCAAATCCTTCCGGCATGAGAAGACCAAGAAGAAGCGGGGCAGCTACCGGGGAGGCTCCATCTCTGTCCAGGTCAATTCAATTAAGTTTGACAGTGAGTGACCTGAGGCTATTATAGTGAAGCAGGGTTGATGATCTGAGACTACTTATTTTCCTCAGTGGACCTATTAGGGAAGGTCTTGATGAGGACAGTGGTCTAGAATAGGTCCAAAGACTTTGCATCAGAACATCTCTGGTCCTTTTCTGTGTTTGTAGTTTTATACAGTTTTGTTTTTGAGTGTTCAGTAGCAAGGACAAGTAAGGGGAGTGTTCTTTTATAAGAAAAAATTGTTTTAGTTGTCATCTCCTTTTCCCTGGTCTGTGGAAATCCTCATACTGAGAAATTTGTATATTTTATATTAAATTGTTTCCTATTGATTTTCATTGTGATTTTCAGAAGTGGGTTCCCACAGATAAAAAGCTATTACCCAAGACATAGTAAAGGTCATCACATGTGTGAATTTTTATAATTGGAGAATTCTGCCTATGTGAGTGCACATATCCACATTTCATCCTTCTACCCTTCAGCCCTGGTGAGGGGCAGTTAAGAATGGTTAATGTATATATGTTAAGCATGCACTGTGCAGTTCATTCTCTTTCATGGGGTCTAGGACGAAGTTTTCAGCGAGCATGGACTTAGCTACTTTTGGGGGTAAAAGTCACTTTTATTATAGATCAAATTCTGGTGTGGTGTGAATGCTGTGGGGTCAGTCTGAATATTTTGTTTTCTGTAATTATCATTATTACATAATGTTTGCAGTACATGTTTTTTAATTTGAAAGCATAAACTTTTCTGTTCAAAGACTTGTTTTGATGGCCATTTAGTTTCTACTAAATGAAGGACTGCATCTCCTGATTTTTTACATTTTAGAGAACAAAATAACATTAATTTGGAAACTATATATCACTTGGTATTTCTGTCTTGTTAGCAGTAGTGATACAAAATTCGTTTCATTAACTCCTACATGGTTGGAAATCACTGATGAAGCAATGAAAGAAGAAAAACTATAATTAACTTAAGTCCTCAGTAGGAATTAAGTTACATTGTCAGGTGAATTTATAGGTCACATGTATGTACTAATGGAGATGGGAAGAACCTTTACAAAACATATTATCTGGTAAAACTTGAGGAGAGCAGTTGGGAGAGCCTCCTAACAAGATTATCGTGGCTTATAGTTGGCACATGGGAGCATTTGATGTGCTTCCTTCAGTAACAGTGCAGGTAATGATAAAAACCAGTGAGCAGAGATATGACTCAGGCCAAGCTGCTGATTGTAAAGCTGTAGGACATGACCATTGGCAGTGCTCAGCCAGAGCAAGATGGGGAGGGAAGAGTCATCATACTCTCTGGAGGTTGGGCTGTCCCTGTGGTGGGAAGGTGTGCCTCAGTTTCATGGATGGTGTAGGTCTTAAGTTTAGCCTCCCCTTGTTTGGATTCCATATTCGCCAAATAACCTGGTAATAACCTGGTTTTCCATGTAACTGCCTCTGGGTAGAAAATGCACTGTTTATGTGCTGACATTGGTATTTCATTCTGCATGGTAAAAGTTAACTACAAAATAATAAACTGTCCAGTTTATAATGTGTCTTGGGAGTTTTATTATTGTGAGTCCGAAGCCCTCTCACCTCCTACTTAAACCAGAACAGTTTGGCTTTCATTTAGAGGGCTGAGGTCCAGATCTGTGACTCACTTAAGAGCCTTCTTGGCCATACTTTGTCTCACGGTGTCTTTTCCAGTTAATAATTCAGCCGATGTGTAGTCTTAATTGGGGCTTGACAAAATGGCTTGTTTTTGTATTGCTTAGGAGCTAAGAGTGTATTTCACATTTTTAAAAGGCTTAAAAAAAAAAACGTCAGACTTCATGTGGCCCACAAAGCCTACAGTATTTACTATCTGGCCCTTTACAGAAAAAGTTTGCTAACCCCTGCTATAGATTGGTGATTTCATAACACTTGCTGAAAATTAGAATCATCTGGGGGCACTTCTAAAATCACTGATACCCAGGGGCCCATCCCCATTGAGTCAGACCTTGGTGTTCTGTGATAGGGCCTGAGTGTTAGCTCTCAGGTGATTCTAATGAGCAATCAGTATTGAAACCCACTGATCTAAGTATTTGAAAAGAAATGAATTGGTATTTCTTTCCTTAGGCTTCCATTTTCAAGTGTACTCGTTAAATCTTATAAAGTGAAAAGTAAATTTCCATCTCCTCTTAGCCCTGTTTCCTGGGACTTGATTTTTGTGTCTCCTCTGAGAGACAGAGTTTCTCTGTCCTATGTGTATCTGCTGACCTTTTTCCTTATGCAGTTACTTGCTATATGTGGTATTTCATAACTTTGCAGCTCATTTCATAATACAGCAGCTTATTTTTAATGACTATGTTGTATTCATTGTATGGAAATAGTATAAGTTATCTAAACTAGTACCTTATTGGTAGATATTTAGGTTGTAGTATTTTGCTCATACTGTAGATTGCAAATATTTTTTCAGGTATTTTTATCCTAAAATGGAATATAACATATATCCATTAATTTTTCTCCTTAAAATAGAATAATTTGTTAAGTTTACTGTATTGTTTTAAAGCTACGCTTATTTTTTCTTTTGCATAAACATAACTCATTATTTTTTTCTTTTATAAACATAACTCTTTCCAGTTTTGTTTGCTTTTTTAGCAGACCTTCTTTCCCCTTAGGTCTTGTAAAGCTGAAACCGCTGTATACATGCAGCTAACGTGTTACACAAATGAAGCAGTTTAGCAAGTTGTCTAACAGCATTTACCAGGAAATTACTTAATGTCTGAATCTACTTTCTTATATTTAAAATAGAGAGCATTCTCCCATGTTGTTCGTAAAATCTGACTACTCAGAGGGCTGTTGTAAGGACTGAGAATTTATCTAAAGCACTTAGCACAGCTGCTGGCATGTTGTAAGTAAGCACTCTATGACTGCCATTTGCACAAAAAAAGAGTATTTGGGAAATGACCTTCCTTGGTGTCCTTGTGATATGCAACATGTCATTTCAACAAAGGCTCAAATTGGATCTTGGAGTTAATAGTTATCCTGGCAGTGGTTTTTTTTGTTTGTTTAGCATCTCAATTTATGATGCCAAACACTGTTGATCCTATTTCTTAGAAACTTTGGTTTCATGAGAGATCTGGTACTATTGCTGAAATCCACAAATTCAGTGAATCATACACGTGATGGCTCAGGCCCCTCTTCAGTGTACCTCAAAATGACACGACAGGAGACTTTCCAACATTCTTTTGTAGGTTTATGCTTTGTAGGTTTCTACCCTATTAGGCTGGGTTTCTCAACCTCAGCAACATTGCCATTTTGAGCCAGATAATTGTTGAGGAGTGTCCTGTGTGTTGTAGCATGTGTAGCAGCATCCCTGGCCTCTACTAAATGCCAGTAGCATCCCCCAGTTTGGACAACCAGAAATGCTCCAGATATTTTCACATATCTCCTAGGAGGCAAAATTGCTCCTGGTTGAGAACCATTGGGAAAACAGCCGATTATCAAATGATTTGCTTAGGGCTGATAAAACTGCAACTTAGTGGCACGTTGAGACAAGAACATAGGTGTCTTTCTATGTCTGAAAATTGATCTACGTGTATTCAACATTGAGTGCCTGCCTACTATGAACTAGTCATAGAACTCCCTGAGAGTTCAATATCTAATGGGGGAAGTTGGACATGGGAACAGTTCTGTACACTACTGAGTCCTGTCACTAAGGGCCAGAGTTAACACCCCAAAGGGGACAAGCAAGAAAAGATTTGACTGACATTGGCCCAGGATTCTGAAGAGAGTAGCAGCTGGCCAGGTGTGAGGAAAGCATGTGCCATGCAAGGAAGAGGACATTTTTCCTGTGGGAGAAGAGGGCCTTTAGGGTGGATCAAATGGTGGGAGTGTGGGGAACTAGGGGCAAGATAATGCTAAGTCTGACAGCTTTCAGCAGCAATGGCATTTGGTCCCAAGTCAGGACTTGGTACTTTATTTTGTCCACCTGAGTGTGTTAGGGGATTGATAGTCCAATGCAGTGCTCCTGGCGCCAGTACAGCTAGCTGCCAGGAAAGCAAAGTTTCTACTGACCAACTGAGTTCTCAGCCACTGCTCCCTGCGAAGCCCGCTTAAGCTGTCTGCAGTTACTTAAGAGTCCAGTAGGTGGGGCTCTTGCCCACTGCAAGGATTTGGACTATAGTTGAAGCTTGACATTGTCATTGTTCCAGTTCCATTCAACAAATCAGGCAACCTACTGTGAGCTTTTGGATACAAAGATAAATAAGACAGGCCCTCATTTGAGAACCCTTGTTCTGGAGAGTGGAGAAGGGAGGCCCTTCTGGTCTCTAGTCCTGGTTATTTATGAGAGGTCACCTGTTAACCTGACAGCCCGTGGCAGGCAATGTGGCTTGTAGAGGAACCTTTATGTTCATCATGGAACCCCCAACCTTTCCCTCAGGTTCTACAGAGCACTGGAGTCCACAGGTCCCCACTGCTTACGGAAACTGCAGACCTGTATCCTTTCTAGGCCTGGATGCTCAGAGGCCCTGGCACTCTCCCCTGTCTTCCCTCCTTTCCTAGCATAATCTCCTTATGGAGTTCAGAATTGAGAACAAACACCAGGCTTCCACCTTGGAAATGGGTTGGAGAGTGGGAAAAGTACAGAGTATTTCAATAAATTAGCCTGCTAGACAGAAATTTATCCATTCAGCAAATACGAGTGCTTACTATATGCTATTCACATAGTATGTGGTTTTGTGTGAGATGTTCATGACACAATCATGAATGAATGAAGAAAAACAAACAGTCCCAGTGGACCAAGTTTATCCAGGCTAATGAGGGGCAAAGATATTAATCCTCACAAATAACTAAATATAAACCAGTGCAATGAAGGCAAAGTACGAAGAGCTATGAGAACATGTAACAATGCAGCTGACCCATGTGGTGGTAGGACTTCCTCATGGATAGAGTGACCATGTAATTTACCCTGGGATGCTTTTGAGAGTGAAAGGGAGAGCAGTTAATAATTAGGCTGAGATGAACAGGGGAAAACTGACTACCCTAGGCAAGCCAGGACATGGTCATCGTAATAGTAAAAATCTTTACCAAGGAAATGGTGTTTCAGCTGAAATTTGAAGGTACGAGTTCCTTAGTTGAAGGTGGTGAGAAAGAGCAAAGCTATGTGTTTTTCCCATGTAGAGGGACTAGCATGTGAAAAGGTCTTTTGAAGACTTCAAACTGAAAGAAGGCCAGTGAGCCTAAAAGGCAGAGTGAGGAGGTGAGCAAAGTAAGACGAGGCTAGAGAAGTAGGGAGGGGCCAGAGCATACAGAGCCTTTGTAAGGCATGTTTAAGATGTTGTTTTTTATTCTCAAGGCAATGGGAAGCTATTGAAGACTGTCTAGAAAACTCCCTTTAACATTTCTTGTAGAGCATGAATATTCTCATTCATCAAAATTACAGTGATAAATTTCCTTATCTTTTGTTTATCTAAAAAATAGTTCATTTGCCTTTGTTATTGTGGTAAAGTAGACATAGCATAAAATTTTGCCATTTTAACAATTTTAAATGTAAAATTTAATGGCAATTACATCTACAATGTTGTACAGCCATCACCACTATTTCCAAAACTTGTTCATCCCTCCCAACAGAAACTCTACCCATTAATCAATAACTCTTCATTACTTCCTCCTGCTGGGCTCTAGTAACCTCTAATCTTACTGTCTATGTGAATTTGTCTTTTAGAAATTTCATGTAATGGAATCATACAATATTTATCATTCTGTGTCTTCTTTCATGTAGCATAATGTTTACAAGTTTCATCCATGTTGTAGCCTGTATCGAAACTTCATTTCTTTGGATGGCTGACTAATATTCCATTATATGTATATACTACATTTGTTTGTCCATTCATCTGCTGACAGAGACACTGGTGGTTTCTACCTTTTGGCTATTGTGAATAATACTGCAATGAACATTTGCAAAGTATCTGTTTGAGTATGTATTTTCAGTTCTTTGGGATTTGTACCTAGGAGTGGAATTTCTGGGTTACACGGTAATTTATGTTTAACTTTTTGAGGAACTGTACCTTAATTTTTGAATGATAATTTTGCTGGGTAAAGAATGTTAGGTTGGCAGGTTTTTGTCTTTCAGTACTATAAAGACATTTTTATTTTGTCTTCTTGTTTACATAGTTTCTGATAAGTCTATTGTCATTCTTATATTTATTCTTCTGTAAGTAATGTGTATTTTTTCCTAACTGTTCTTTAGATTTTTCTCTTTATCACTGTTGTCATTAATTTTATTATGAAATTATTTGGCGTGGTTTCCTTTAAATTTATTCTGCTTAGAATTTATTAAACTTGGATCTGTGGGTTTATGGCTTTCAGCAAATTTGGAAATTTTCTGGCCATTTTATCTTTTATTTTTTGAATTTTTAAAAATTATTTTTATATCTTTAAATATTCTTTCTAAATCTCTTCTCACCACCTTCTTTCCTTATGGGATCCGTAGGGGAATATTGTACACATGCCAGTCTGCTTAATATTATTCTACACATAAATGGCGCTCTGTTCATTTTTAAAATTCTTT